AAATAGGAGTAAATTTCTGCCAAGTTTGGAAATTACAAGGCTTTAAACATGGCATTTTTTTCCAAACTTGGCAGATTACTCCTATTTAGGGAATAAAAAACATGATACTCCTATTTTGGAATTTCAAAACGTTTTTACTCCTATTTAGGGTAATTTCTGAATAAGTAATAGATTTTGTTTTTATTTTTACCTGGGCATGAAGCTGTTTTATCTTCTCTAGCAATCCAAAAAAATGAGACCAGCATCACATATTAATAGGGCCTTTTGATTCCATCTCCTACAATGAATAATCACACCAATGAGTATAACTTCTAAAACATCCAACTTATTACATGAGGTCAATAATGTTACCTTAAAAAGGAGCTCATGTTCCTTTTTCCTTAGTAATAGTTCCAGAATAATGGAGAACACCTTGGTATCTAATTGTTAGGGTGGGAAATATAAATAAAATGTTTCAGTTTGAAAAAAATAAGAGTCGAGAGAACATTGGACAATACTTAAAATTAACCATCTCTTCTCTTTAATTTCTAATCTAATAAGACAGAGATTTTGAAGGCAAATTTTTATGAAAGTTTAAGGCTTTTTAAAAAAAATAAATTATACTCAGCAATATAAAAGTTAAAAGTACTAATAATTTTTTAGACAAAATCTAACTTTAGAGTAAATTGACAAACCCAATACAAAAACACTTACAAAATAGAACTAGAAGTGCAATTTGTTAAATATCTAGTATGAGTGTGAAAATGACTCAGCTCATAGTAGCCATCTTACAGTTGATTTACTTAGTACAATCAAATCACTCCAGTATAATTGAAGGATTAGAAAGCTACTATGTTGAAATTTATTATGCTTCGTTTGATATGTACACACATGGCAAATAATCGTATTTTTACCGTAATGGATGACAGAGAGGCACTAGGAGATGGAACTCCAGCAACTAAGGATGGACGAGCAAGCAGGGTAGTGGAGCGTCATGGTGGAGCGGCGATAGTGAGGCGGCGATGGAGGAGCGGAGATCGTGGAGGGGCGATGGCGGGGCGGCAATGGTGGAGCGAGGATACGGTGGAGCCGCGATGGTGAGGCCGCGATGGTGGAGCTGCGATGGTGAGGCGCGATAGTGGAACCGCGATAGTGAGGCGGCGGCGTCCAGGAGTGTCTTCAGTTCAGCCAACTAGGGTTAATGGGTTATGTCTTTTGTGTAGCTTCTCTCAAGTGAAGTTGGGCTCAATGAAATACTCCTTAAAAATTTTCCACAAGGGTTCAAAAGGAACAGACGTAAAAATCGTATTCTTCAAATTCATAAAAAAGACCCCGAATGTAATTTGTTTTTCATAAAATTATAAATATAACCCCGTTTTCTCTTTTAATGTCGGTGTTTCTTACAACCGTTATAGAATAAGATTTTTAATTTCAATTTGTACCCATCAAAGTGACAAGAACCTTTAATTATTTATGAAATAGACCTCGCTCCTACTTACTATTACGGTTCCTAGCTACCCCATATGAAAGACGAGTTATAGAACATGTATTTTGCACTAGTGCTAGATGGAGATGTATCCCATAGAATCAGAACAAGGTGGATGAAGTAGAAGAGTGCGTCAAGATTTCTATGTGATAGAGGTATGCCGACTAGACTGAAGGGTAAATTTTATAGGACATCAATTAGGCCTGAATTGCTGTATGGCGTAGAGTGTTGGGCGGTGAAACAATGTCACATTGAAAAGATGAGTGTGGCAGAGATGTCCATGCTGCGTTGAATGTGTGGGCATACTAGGAAGGATCACGTGAGAAATGAGACAATCAGACAAAGGGTAGGAGTAGCACCTATTGAAGACAAGATGCGGGAGTCTCGCCTACGGTGGTTTGATCATGTGCGTAGAAGACCGAGTGATGCACCTGTTAGACGGGTTGAGATGTGTGGAGAAGAGGTAGGGAAAAGAGGGAGAGAAAGACCCAAACAGACGTGGGTTAGGGGAGTCCGAAGTGATATGCTTTTTCTTGGGTTGGATGAGCGTATGGCTTAGGAGAGAGCAAAGTGGAGGACGGGTATTCGTGTGGAGGAGTGATCTCGTATTATTATTTCCCCTCATCTTTTTTCTTCCTGTTTTTTATTCTTTTATCCTTATATATAAACATTATTTTTATCCTTTTTATTTTATCATTTTTAGGTATATTCATCTCGTTTTAAATTATCTTTTTTATGATAGTTTATTTTTTTATCTTTATTTTCTTTATTTTCCTTTTGGTGGTGATATCATGTATCGATTCATGTTAGCCGACCTCAATATCTTTTGGGACTAAGACTTGGATGTTGTTGTTGTTGTGTTGAGTTTCATTTGTTGGTTGCTGATCAAATCAATTCTCCCTTTTTGATGGTCGGTGAAGTCGGAATTCTTGATTTAATTTGTTTCCTTTCTAGTTTGAACAATTTTTTTACTTTCAATTGCCTTTTGAGTAGCAAATTCAGCAGTGTTGTTAGATTTGTTTACATAGTTGCGGGATTAGCGAATTTGTTTGGTCCTTGGAGGCCATGCGATTCTATGTCTCATCCCGGTGTAACATCGAGCTATTGTATTGCTTTATTTTTTGTTACTTTTATCATTAATAAATAAGTTCACTTTTTTTCAAAAAACGCCCAGAATGTTAGCAACATTAACAAATTAACATGTTCAACCCTTTAAATCATTTTTTGTCTTTAGCAAATGAGTTCTTACTTTGACCCTTTTTTATTTGGATCAAAATTATTTTCACTTTTCTTTTTTAATTATGCTACAATAAACTCAATATCCTTTCATGATACAGAATTTACATTATTTATCTTTTTGAATCAAATTAACCATGCAAGTTTTATACTGTTAATCAAGGTGCTTAATAGTATGACTCTGTATTTGTAGAGGAAATCGTTAGGCGTGTTTGACAATATATTAGCGGTAGAAAAGTTGTAAAAAAATGTTTGATAATTTAGTCATATAGCCGTAGCGATTAGTAGGGAATGTATTATTTAAAAACTGTAAACATTAAACAATGTTAATAGTAGTGTTTCTATTTCAACAATTCCGTTCATAAAGGATAAGGCCAAACGTCTATATATTATCTAACATAAACATGAATCAGCGTTTGTAGTCATTCACAATGCTACTACTACATTTTTGCCGACAAGTCATTTTCTAAAGACCCATCCATATTATAGTGTGAAAGTGGGATGGAAAAAAAGGTACAGTGTGAAGAATGGGTTGAACTTCTTTTGTGGCACACAAAAGAAGACAGTCGTAGCCAATGGGTGTGGTGGTGGGTCCCAAGTACACGCTTCCAATAATACAAGAAAGGAAGGCATGGAGTTGTTATCACTCAATGCCGGACCCTATCATCCAACATCACATTTACGACTGCAGCTTGCTTTTCTTTTCTGACGCCGTCCCCAGTCTATGCCCAATGAAAAATTCTATTGGCAGGGGAAATTGTGTACACATTTCCCGAAAGTCTTTTAGGGAAAAACAAACCAGGAACGTAGCTCACCTGGTAGGAAAAGAGTGTCACAAGAGAGAGGTCTCGGGTTCTGACTCCAAGCAATGATTTGGGATGGAGCTCCACTATTTTTCTATTAGAGTAAGATCAAAGCTCAATTTTACATCCTCCCAGCTAGTTGTCCGGTCGGTGTTGGGGGTCCTCAGGGATGGAGTGTCACCCCTTTTTTTAGGGAAAAACAATAATTATTTGTAGGTTAAAGGGTCAAATAGGCCCCCTGTATTGGTCGTGTAAGCTCAATTCACTCCCTGAACTAAAAAAGGTTCAATTCGCGTCCCGAACCGACAAAAATGGTTCAAATTTCATTTTTTACGGGTAAACAACTGATCATTTTTTAATTTTTTTTGTTTCTGTTTTTTTATTTTCGATTTGTTGCAATTTTGACACTTTTTAATAGTTTAGGGTGTGAATTGAACCTTTTTTTTACCGATTGTTTAACCTTAAAAAATGAAATTTAAACCCTTTTTTGCCGGTTCAGGATGTGAATTGGACCTTTTTTAGTTCAGAGTTTGAATTGAGCTTACACGAATAGTACAAGGACCTATTTGACCTTTTAGCCTTATTTGTATACATGGGTAGAGTATAAGGGGGTGTTTGGAACTGATTCAACTTATACTCCTTTTTTAAAAGTAGAAGTAAAATCAGAATGAATTTTTGAGAAGCTGGTTTTCTTCAACTTCTAAAAAATTGATTCTAAGAGCAATTTTGAGTCGTTAGAAATACTTATGCACTTCCACTCAAACACTTCAATATATGTTTATGCTCCTTCAGCGAACAAAAACAGTTTCAGGAAACAGATCCAAACACCCCTAAGATGTACACAAAATGCATACACCCATTTAATAACATGTGTACATAAGCAATTCGTTTAGAAAAGAGACAACAATTAGGTGTACATAAAAAAGTATGCTTAATATGTACATTTAAGCCAACTTTATGTACCTATGCACGCAAATACCTTAAAAAATTTCTTTTTTTAATAAATTGTCTGTATACTACAAAATTTTTAAAGAGCCTAGGGTATCACTATAACAACAACATTTTCTAGTGAGGATACCCTCGAAAAATGTGTGGAGATGAGGATGCCCAGCTACCTAGATGAGGTTTTAAAGAGTGACTCTTTTCTATAGTCATATATCCGTGGGCGTGACTCAACTGGTAGCGAGGGACTGCCACAAGGGTTATGTCCCGGGTTCAAATCTCGACAATTGTGATGAGAGGTCACTATGCTAAAAATGCATAGGGCCTCTGCAAGTATCGGGGACGGAGCCTCACTCTCTATCTGTCAGATTGTGATTATAGTCCAATTTACATCCTCCCATTGTACCGTCCGGTCGGTGTTGGGGGCCCTCAGGGATGGTGTGTCATCCTTTTTTTTCTAGTCATATGACCAGGCTTCTTAAAACATCTCCTATTTACTACTCTGTATGTGTATAAAGGTATAAAATGATATGTACACAAAGAAAAATGCTAATGAGATAGGGGAAGAATGTAATAAAATGGGAAAGGACAGAGACATCCCCTATAACTGGAAATAACCTGTGTATAAATGCAAGTCTCTGTGGAGTCTGTCTGACCTAAGATGCTTACTAGAGAACAAGCTTGAGATCTCAACCAGGTTTCTCCTGATAAAAAAAATGAAATTGTTACTGCCATGGCTAACAATAGTGTTTCTCTCTTTGCAACAATGGGTTTTCCCCATTATACCCTCCCAAGCCTCCACTGAGAGAGAGAACATCCACAGGTTAATAAACTCCACAATCTTCAACCCAAAGGAAGCCCCCCTTTCAGAAGAGTGGCCTGCTCTGGACCAAGAAGGTGATGCCGCCAGAGCTTTTCTTTATTCTTCTTCTTCTCCTCCCCCATCTTCAGTATATGTTGGCAACCAGAAAGGGCTGAGGAGGGCCGATAAGATCCGTTCCCTACCGGAGCAACCTGCCGGAGAGAAGTTTGCCCAATATTCAGGCTATGTTACGGTTGATCCCAAGGCCGGAAGAGCTTTGTTTTATTACTTTGTTGAATCTCCTCAGAATTCCTCTGCAAAACCTCTGCTTTTATGGCTAACCGGAGGTACATATGAAACATTGCTCTACTTTAAATGCATCCAATTCAATGCCAGTTTATCATTCATAATCTACGCTTTGAACTGTTCAAGTTTTTTGCAATTGTGTTTAGTGTTTACTGTTTTTATACTCCCTTGGTATGTTTCGAATTTACTAAGCGTCTGTGATTCTACTTATGAATCATTGTCTTGATTAATTTAAATGAACCGACATGGAGATGAGTTGAGAAAACAGGGAAAATAGATGACTAGATGGCATAGTTCTGATTACGGAGTACGGAGTATTATTTACTCCCGTCTCTAAAATTGTTCCTGTCAAATTGTTTTCACTTTCCTATTTAAACTGTCTAAAAAATTGTTCCCATTTTTCTTTTTGGAAAGTTTGTGTGGTTAATATTCATTTAGAGCCCGTTTGGTAGCACCAAAATCGGCTGTTTTGGCTGATTCTGCTGAAATTTATGATATTCTGGCTGGAGTGGCTGTTTTGGCTGATTCTGCTGATTTAAGAAAAAAATATTTTAAAAATATATTTTATTAATAAATTAAAGAAAAAATTATATGTAAAAATAGCTAAAATGGTCCTCTACAGTAACTTCAACCAATACAGCCAGAAAAGTAACTCCAACCTTACTTTTTCGGCTTATTACACAATTAAGCGCGCGAAAGTAAAAGTTACGTGTTTGGTGAAAAAGCTGGCTGATAAGCCTGATAAGCCGAAAACAGAGTTCTCCAAACGGGCTCTTATATTTTTCTTACACAACCAAAATTATACATTTTCATTTTATTCGCACTTTAACTCCCAACTAAGAGCCCGTTTGGTAATAGCCAAATCAGTTGTATTGACTGATTCTGCTGAAATTTATGAAATTCTGGTTGATGTGGTTGTATTGGCTGATTCTGCTGAAATTTATGAAGTTCTGGCTGATGTGACTGTACTGGCCCTGATTTGTGAAAAATAATAATGTTTTTTTGAAGGAAGAAAAATAATACTCCGTAATTTAAAATAGAAATAATTGGATATATGTACAAGTTTAAATAGGTGTAGTAAATTAATGTCATGTATTTATATAAATAAAGCATATAGCCGATTAGATTAAAATGGAAGGAAGAGAATCTCCTAAAAACGTGGCATGCATTTAATCTCCTACATAAAATACTCTCGTGATTATCAGTTTATAGGTCACATATGCTATGTATTTAATTGATCAAAAGCAAGGCTTTTCATTGAACTTCTCCTATTTACTATTTAACCCTTTAAAATACTACCTGCGTTCCGGTGGACTTTGCCAAGAGCAAAGTATGTGAGAAATAAGAATAGTAAAAACTGTGTGGTTGAGATTTGTGCAGAGGAGAGAGAAATGTGCAGAACCACAAATTAGTTGCTTTAATGAGAAAGTGACAAAGTTTTTTGGGACAACCAAAAAGGGAAAGTTGGCAAAGTCTAATGGGACGGAGGGAGTACATTTTATTAATAAAATAAAGAAAAAATAGTTAAAATGACCTTCTACAGTAACTTCAGTCAATACAACCGGAAAAGTAACTGCAACCTTACTTTTTCTTATTATTACACAATTTAGCCCGTAAAATTAAAAATTACGCGTTTGATGAAAAAGATGGCTTATAAGCTTGAAAAGCCAAAGATCATGGTTATCAAACGGGTACTAAGTCAAACTGGGAACTATTTTACGGGAAGAGGGAGTACTTGTTAGGTGACTTAGGGTGCGTTTGTATATTGGTGGTTCAGCCAAAAATTGGAGGTTTTGACCGTTTTAGCGTTTTTGCTTGATAAAACCGCTGATTTTTTGCGTTTGGTAAAACAGAGGGTCTGAATAGTGGATCGGATGAAACTGCCGAAAACCAAAACGCTGGAAATTGCAGCGATTAGGTTTCGGCGGTTGGGAATAAATGCTAAATTCACTCCTTTGTCCTCTCATCTTCGTAAAGAATTGCATACGTTTGTTCTCTTTCGTTCGTGCTCAAGTGCTTTATCTCCTCACCAGCGCAAGGAGTGCCCCCTCAGTGCTTTCTTCTAATACTTCTATCATATATTCATATTTCTTCTGAATTGCTATTTTGATTGGAATTCAAAATTATAGGTACCTTTTACATATTGAAATTAAAACTCAATAACTTGATGACTTGTACAATAATTATACTCCCTCCGTCCCAATTTATTTTGCAAAGTCAACATTTTTTTGTCAACCAATAATAAAAGTCAACTCTCCCTATGGATAATTAATTCAATTTTTAATCGTTAAAATTTACATATTCAAAAACTACATTAAAATCTCTACAAAGTTGTAAACTCCAAATTAGAAAATAATTAAAAATTGACATCATAATTAAGTGAACAAAACGAGACTGTTTGAATAATAAAAGTCAAATTTGCAACTCTTTTTGGGACGGAGGTAGTATTAGTTAGAATATTTTACATATTGGTTAGAAGTTAAAACTCAATACCTCAATAACTTGATGACTTTTACATATTAGTTAGAATATTTTTGTAGTTAATTTTACAATAATTATGTACATATGAGTTAGTATACTCATATATACTTCGTCCGTTCTTTTTTAATTGCAACGGTCTACTTTTCACACTTGCCAACGCACAAATTTGATCATTAATATCTTTCGCTCCTTATTAGTAAAAAAATAAAAAAATCAGTTTGAAAATTTAAAATGAGAGGAATTTAAAAATATTTTTAAAAAAAATAATTTATAATACATCAATAAATAAAATATAGTCAAAGTAGAATATGTGAATAGTGCAAAAAGTTCAATGTTATAATTAAAAGAGAACGGAGGTAGTACGTATTATTAAACAAACCGGACACATGCACAAATTTTAAAATGTCCTTTTTTGTCTTTTTACCTGCTATCCGCTACTTTCAAACAGCTAAGTTACTAAACATCTTTCTGCAACCCGCCAAGCTAACCCGCTGGTCAAATCCGCTGATTCAATCCGCTATTTACAACCCGCTAATCAAATCCGCTAACCGTTGAGTGCCAAACATCCCTTAATGCGCATACAATACTACGTAATATACACCTTGTTTACTTTTAATTTCAATTTCGATTTGTTTGCACTCATATATGAGAAGTTTGTGTTTCTTAAGATACGCTTGGTGCTACATTATTATTCAATTTTGTTTAGCACTAATATTAGAGAAATTGATGTTTTTATACATGTAATTATTTACCCTATATTTTTTTATATTTACGCGTTTCCCCCATGTTTCATGTCCTACTTTATTTTGGAAGATGGGGGCTTACATTGATATCACTGCATTCAGAAAGGGGTTAAAACGATATAAGAACCACAGACAACTGTCAGCCCTCGAACCAGACTTAGAGTCAATCACATTCAGAAATATAACTCGTTGATCCTATAATGGGCTTACATGAGCCAATGAGAGTTAAAGCAGACTTCCTGACACCCAATCCTAATGCAAGAGTCTTACAATAATAAAAATAACCAACAGAAAAATAAACAGTCGGATCATGAAAAATAAATCGCAAACAAACAGTAAAATTAAAAAGACACTTCCAAATCCTAGACTTTCCTGCACTTCATGACGGCGGTTCAGGAAGGGGACGATCTGCAGTACTGTAGCTTCTTCATTATCTTGCGTCTTATAACTCTTATTCATCAGGTTCTCTACCAAGCTTCCTCTGTCGCCACCTAACACAGATGACCGCGAATTCAGATCTGTTGCAGCCTCTAGCCCCACGCTTCGTCCATGACCTTTGCTCGCCTGAGACCAAACCTCCATCTTCCGTCCCTGCATAACCTTCGGCAGCTAGAGACCAAGCATCATCTTCCCTCTGCTTAATCTCGCCAAGCAAAAGTAGAAAAAAAGCCGCACAATTGATGGCAGAAGAAGAAACTTTGTACGCCTAAACCCGCCTACGGCGGCCGCTCCTCGTTACAAGCGATAGCGGAGGAAAAAACCCTAGCGGTGGAAACCCACCCTAGAGAGAGAAAGAACTGAGAGACATATTCGAACTCGTGTCCTACTTTTTATGAAAATGTTGTTTTCAGTTTTTGTACCAAACTAGGACTTGCTTCTAAATTTTACTCCATAACTTTTAACCGCTTTCTTCTTTTAATAGAATTGAATAAATCTTATTTGTAGAATAAAGAAAAACCATAATATATTTAAATAGTTATTATTAAAAAAGTCATATTTTTAAATTTTAATTATTAAAAATATGTTAAGGTTTTTCTTTAAATATGACTAATTGAAAAAATCTTACTAATAAAGTCATATATTTGAAAAAGTGATGTCACATTTTTATGTTTTTCACAAAGACAATGATATCATGCATGTCACATTGTTCATATTTACATTTTTTGAAAATTTGGTCATATGTAAAGAAAAACACCATTAATGGATTCAATAATAGAATCCTTCTCTTTAAACACAAAAATTATTGTCAAGCACCTTGTGGTTCAATGACATCATTGTGACACTCCCAAAGTGGAAATCATATGTTCGAAATCCATCTTATTCAAGGACGTTGATATTTAACAGAACAAATATTGTGAGAAAAGAGAAAGTGCAGCAAAAAAAACAAAAATAAATAATCTAGAATCCAAAAATAGACGAAATAGGGAAGAATATCCATGGGGTCAAATAACTAATCTTTGCCCCAATTTACGTTGAGGTTTCTAATTTCTGCCATGTAGCTAGGAGCGTAGGATAAAATATGATTTTTTTTTTCAAAAATAGGATCTACTAGCTTAAAATACTTTAAATAAGACTTTTTATTTGTAATTGGACCAAAATATTTGCATAGGGCTTTAACACTATTGCATAAGGGTCGCCGGACAGCCACCAGCTGCAGGAAATTTTCTGCCGAGCTGCCAGAAAACCCGACATCGCTGCCGTTGGAATCCGTGCCGCCACTGGCATCATTATGGTCTGCTGCCGCCACCACGGATTGTTCTCGGAACCAACGGACTGCCTTGATTATGCAAGGGAACTAGGGGGCAATTAATTAGTTTAATTAATTAATTAATTAATCAATTAATTAGATTATGGACAGAAATGGAATGATTAGTCCTACTTTGAGAAAACCAAACATGCAGTCCCATTTTTAAAAGAAGGCTCTGTTTTAGTCTTTGTTAGGACAATTTTCTCTTCTTTGTGTTGGGTAGGGACAATTTTCTCTTCTTTTAGTCTTTTAGCATGTCTTTCGAAAACATGAAAATAAACTAAAAAAATGTGTAATCGGTTGGCTCCATTCCTATTTGGGAAAAAATGGAACAAATTTGGACCAATTTCGGATGTTGCTTTGGATTAAAAAACCTAGCAACAGGCCCGGTTCCAAAACTAGAACCGGGTCCATCCCTACACCCAACATGCACAAAGAAGCACCTTTTTTCCCTTGAGACATAGGTTATACTAATCTTATGGTCCATAGAATGTAATTAGGAGTAGTATTTAGTAGTCTACTAATAAGGTTATTGCTGATGAATGTATGCAGGACCTGGTTGCTCATCAATTGGAGCTGGAGCACTTTTGGAAGTTGGTCCTTACAAAGTTAAAAGTGATGGGAAAACATTGTACAAGAACGACTATGCTTGGAACAAAGGTAAGCACTTATAGAATACTTAAGGTTGGAACATAGTCACATAGAGCAGTTAAAAACTGAGAATATGGTTAAGGTTTCCAGCATTGATTTGAAATGGCAGTGGCAAATGTGATATTCCTGGACTCACCTGCCGGTGTGGGATTTTCCTATTCCAACACAACCAATGACTATAATACCACCGGGGACAGAAGAACAGCCACAGATTCACACATCTTCCTTGTGAATTGGCTTGAAAGATTCCCACATTACAAGACTCGGGATTTCTATATAGTGGGAGAGAGCTATGGTGGTCATTTTGCGCCTGAGCTTGCTTACACCATTTTAGCCCATAACAAGCATTCCCGGAAACAATTCATCAACCTCAAAGGCATTATTGTGAGTCTTATACCCTTTTTAACCCTCCCTCAAAGCGAAAACAAGTCTTGTTTCTTGAACAAGAATACTTAAGTAACACGACTCTTTTATCAGGGTGATGGGGGTATGATTTTTTTCTGCATCAATGTATACACTTGGTAAAAATAAAAATATTAAACAAAGAAATTGATTAATTTTCTTGATTTCAAATTTAAAATTGATATTCTGATTTTACCCTCTTTTATTACGCCTCTTAAATAATTACATTTAGTAAATTACCATGAACTCACTCTTTATCAAGGGAAAACAAAAACATAAAATAAAAATGTTGCATTGGAAAAAGATTATGCCTTGATAAAGGATCATTGACCCCTTTTAGAAGGTGTTTTACACTCAGTTATATTGATTAATCCTAATGGATCATTGCGGGCAGGTTGGAAATGGTTTCCTGGATCTTGATTTAACATTGAAAGGAAACATGGACTATTTATGGTCACATGCATTGAGCTCAGATGAATCTCATGAAGCAATTACCAAGTATTGTGACTTTGCTCATGGCAACTATTCTCTCATCTGCAACTTGTACGTATTGAAAGCACGGGTGGAGGGCGGGCTTGTTCCTATAAATTACATTTACGAGTCTTCTTACTGCAACCCCAATGCAACAAAACCCAAGTCTCCTAGTTCGGTGAGAATTAATTCTACAGGCAATATACTATATATGTGCATATATGATTGTATCAAACTGACACTAAAATATGTGATATTTGAAACCATGATGAAGGGATATGATAAATGCTCGAGCTTATATGTGGCGGCTTACCTCAACAGGAAGAATGTGAAAATATCTTTTCATGCTGTCGATACCATTTGGAGAGATTGCAGGTACTCCCCTAGGGACCATATGCATTGTTACTCAAACAAGATATTTAAATATACAAAACTACTTGGATCGTACCCCCTCCATAAAAAAAAGAGTTCAGTGAAGATACAATATTTTAGTTCTGTGAAAGTATAACTTTGCAAATGTCATTGAGTCATGTAAATGTAGTCGGTACTATAAATAGATTTGAATGGTTGCAAAAAAGATATCATTCAGTCCTATTTATAGTTCAATTTTTTAGTGTAGTACTGAGAGGTTGTTTTTTTAAAGTGGTACTTGTTTTGGGACTAAATGGTTTTGAAAGCTCTTTACTGGGAGCAGAGTACTGGTTTTACTCTGCTCAACCAAAATGAGCGACTAGCTGTCAATGTGCTGAGTGGATCCATTGTGGGTCAACCAACGGCGAGAGATTCTGAGCTGACACTCATTTTGGGCGAATTAAAATATATAAGAAAGAAAAAGATGTACCATAAAGTTTGACCAAACACCAATGATAGAAATACTTGAAAAATGTGAGCAGCAATGAAGTTGGGCTGGCGAACTGGAGGGATGCACCTAGAACAGTTATCCCCATACTCAAACAGCTCATTGCAGAGAACATCAGCATATGGCTTTATAGGTAAGTTCTCAAAGCAATTCTTATGTCTTCTTGATCATTCAGTTCATCAAACATCTAAACCTTAACTTGGAGTGGTGACATTACAAATAATACCTACAAATAACAACTAGTAATAATTGGAGTTTCGTTCTAATCTAAAGGGATGAGTGTCTCAAGATCTTAAATATTAATTTGATATTTTATACCTTGTTGTGAACAAACACAACAACTACAACAAATGCAGTGGGGATGCAGATGAAATAGTATCAGTAACAGCAACAAGGCTTGTAATAGACAGTATGAAACTTCCTGTGAAGACTGCCTGGCGTCCATGGTTGTCTAACAGTGGCCAGGTACATAGAAATGTTTGGCATTCTTTCTATCATTTTGACAAGAAACGATGCTCACTTCAAATTTGAACTTAATTTGAAGGAGGTTGGCGGGTACGTGGAAGAGTACAAGGGGTTGACACTTGTCACAATACGAGTAGCCGGGCATGCACCCCCTAGCTACCAACCAGAGCGAGCACTCACTATGATTACATCTTTTCTTCAAGGGAAACTTCCCCCCTCGGCTTAACTAGCTAGAACAAGATTACACTCCATCCAAACAGTGCTATTATATTCTTATTACTGTGTGCAATGAAATTACATAATAATGTGATTCTCCAATCATCTCAATAAACGATTGAATATTGTTCAAAAACATGGGAGCAATCTCCTCATCTCCTTGATTTAGCAATAATGAGAGAATATTAATGAAGTACAGTTACCGAGAGACAGAGAGTATAACATTCAAATATGTCTTAAAAGGGAATGAAGAAGGCATCGAGTACTATGATAGAGAGGCACAAACAAGCTTCAAATATTTTTCTTAAGCCATGTCTATAACTCAAATTATACTAGTGGGCTAATATTAATAAATAAACGTTAAAGCCTTTCATGATTCATATTCTGGATTGGGTTAATCCATGTTGTAATCAGATCGATTAAGTTCGAGGTATAAAAGTAGAAGAACTCAACGTGATTTGAAAGCAAATCAAGAATTCAAATCAAGTTGAGTTCTGAAGACTATTTTATTCACAAAATAAATAAATAAATAAATAAATTTTGGATGTTTTTATAAGAAAATTATCTAACTAGGAGTAAAAGGTAGCCAAAAATCACATATAGGACTACATTGTATTAAATTTCCTAGTATGATTAATTATTTGTGTTTGGATAAATATACCCCGATAGCTTTTTGGACTAAAATAAATATTTAATAAAATTAATAAAAATAAAAAATTAGAAAAAAAAAATAAAAATTAAAAAATACTCCTTCCGTCCCTGAAAATTCTCCTCACTTACCTTTTTGGGACGTCCCAAAATATTCTTCTCATTTCCTTTTTTGAAAAGGTTTGTGTGGCTACCATTAATTTACCTTTTTCTTACTCAACCACAATCATACATTTCTACTTTATTTCCACTTTCTTAAACTCCGATCCAAGTCAAATTGAGAAGTATTTTGCAGGACGGAGGGAGTAAAAAATTAGAATAAAAATTAAAAATTAAAAAAACACTAAAAAAAATACACAGCCGCCTCTGCTACACTAGCATCACCCGCTTCAATCACCGAAAAAATGCCAACTTGCATTAGTAATGCCATACTGATGGCGGTTTCAATGAAAATTTTGGTATTATCAAAGAGTAATAATGGTGGTGCTGGAAGGCGGTAGAGGCGGTGGGAAAGGCATCCTCATTTTTATGGACTTTTAATATTTTTATTAATTTTTTATTTATTTTATATTATTTTTTACAATTTTTATTACGGAGTATTTTTTTACGATTTTATTATGAATTAAAACATTTTATTATGAATTAATACTCTTAGGAGTATTTAGAGCAGAAAATTAATGTTCAATCCTATTTGTGAATGATTTAGGCTTTAGTCCTATTTGTGAAGTTAAGTTTCCATTTAATCCTATTTAGGTAAATTATTATTATTTTATATAAACTTATACCTCATTTTCAAGCCCATATGATCTTATTACTCCCTCACAAACTTAATTTAACGCATATTACATCCAAATCCTCCTTTGGAAATGTTAGAACCCTAGAAAATGAAGTTGAGAAGAACAAACCATACAAACACTAGATGATACCATTGGTTTAATATATGACTTGGTCAAATTGGTAAGCTTTTGTATTAGTATCTTTGCCAATGGACTGGATCACTGGAATATAAATAAGCAAGACTTTGAAGATTGACCCTTCCAAAAAGGTGTTTTTCCTTTGAAAAGTTTGCTTATATATCCTTTCTTCCCGATAAGTTATTGATTCTTATCCTAGAAGTTGATCATGTTATAATGATGATTAATTTAAAATTTTAAATGTTGGATTACACGTACATGTAGATTTGTTGTTGATTGGTCTTTAAATACTTGTTACCCACAAGAATGAAAACCCCCAGAAGAAACACTATTAAGCGAAATAATGGCAACATGTACATGTATCTGAACAAAATTCATTAAATGTCAAATTCATTTTCTTTGCATCACGCAAATAGTCAAATACAACAGAGATTTCCTCTTCTCCACATGAATGCATTAAAATGAAGAGAAAGTATATAATAATTTAGAGCACTTGGGTCGACAACCAGCTACTTACTTAGGAATGGAATCACGGTGAGAAGTGAGCCAATCTTTTACTGCGTTAAGGTCGGGTAGCACAGTCTCTCCAGATTTCCTCCAATTTTCAGCATCAGATGTCTTGAACCGGTCGAGCAATATCGTATTCATCCCCACACTCCTTGCAGGAATAATATCTTTCCTGATGCTGTCTCCTATGTGAAGAACTTCTTCTGGAGCAACATTTCCAGCTCTCTCCAATGCAATTTTATATATCTTTGGGTCTGGTTTTTCTACACCTTCTAGGCCAGAGAATACTCCAAAATCCCACTCAGATCCCTTATTCATGGCACATAAGATCAGAAGAACCTCATTACTCTCCACATCCCAAGTAAAAAACTTGTTTGTATTTGTTAAATTCGGTTAAACTCGACGTCAAAGGAGCCTCAAGAACTAATCTTTACCTCAAAATTATTACCAGTTTCATATGAAATTCACACCCCAAGCCGGGCAAGCCCGGCCTGGACAAGGTGGACTAGATAAATGTAAGCATGGACACATGGACCTCTAAATGATTTTCCCAAATCAAGTAGTGGGTTGGCACCCAACAAACCACGATTAGACTAGTATTTGATACTATATTAAATCAGGTCTAACTCAATTACTCAACCAAAATGGATACTTCAGATGCGTGAGGTTTACATATACCACACACACTTTTATAAAAGTACCAATACACAAATATTGACAGCTATTGTAGGATGATTTCATAATCGGTAGTATATTGATTCCATATCACAAAAGGAACTCTATTTCCAGTGGAGTTTAAAACATATTTTGCTTCTACTCATATTAGGACCTTATACGGCATACCAAAATCTGATGTAACATGTTTACCTGATTCAAGCCTAGGGCTGGAAGGATTACGTCCCGATACCGATATTCAGCATTGCTAACAAGCCCAACTGTAACACCAGTAGAACGAAGCCACCTAAGGAATGGTTGAGAATCCGGGAATATAGTGTAAGGTGCAGCAGAACCAAAGGTTGCATATATGCGTTTAAAGATCTTTTCAAATGTCTCCTCATCATAATCATATCCTGCCTGTCATCAATAAATTTTTAAGCCAGAGATCCACAAGTGCAAATAATTTGAGAAACAGGACAGTGTTTCACAGCCAGTTTGGTAATATCTAAAATTGCTGGAGTGGCCTTAAATCTATTGAATTTTCTAAAGTTGTGGTTGAAAGAGCCGAATCTGTCAAAATTTCTAAAAGTATTATTTATAAGGATATTTGTTATATAAATTAAAGGAATCAGTCTTTGGAAATATAGGTAGGCATGTTATTTTCTCTAACTACAACCATTTTAGTTTTAAAAAGTATCCCATGCACTACTTTCAGCAAAATAAGTTATTGTATGGTGATAAAGTTGACAAAAAGGGCAGCCCGGTGCACATTGGAGTCCCCGCTAGGCAAGGGTCCAGTGAAAAAATGGACTCATAAGCAGAAATAAAGTTCTATGATATTGGCTCTGAATGAAGCATTCAATATCTTGTTTACTTGTGCTTATGTTTATATGGATTTTATATCTACCTTCACAAATAAATCTCGAACACAAGTCTTCCACCAGAGAATGTTAGGCATCTTTTCTGCAAACCCGAAACAGGGATGTTTTCTAGCCGTATCAGTATATCCATGTTTAAAGCCCTCATGCACTCTTTTATAGTCAGGACACGGAAGTCCAACGGCTTTCGCTGCCATGCAATAGTAGTTGCCTAGTTCTCCCTTGTAAGCTATCAGTGTGCCAGTGACATCAAGTGTGATGCATCGGAATTTTGTTAGAACAGACATGATGTTATGCAACTTGATGTTCCCAATATCCAATTTCTTAACTATACTTGAGACTCCAAAAAATGTTGTGTTAAACCAATGTACCAAAGATAGGGATCACCATCCAAACAGCTGTTCAAATATTATATACAACACTGTAAATGATGAATATCAATTGGAATGCCTGAAATATTAATAAAAGCTTCAATTATCATTTGAGATTTTTATGCTCTAATACAATTATATCTTATATTAGTTATAAGATAGGAGAAGTAGTTCAATATCTTATATATTTACTTGCATTTTTATGAAAAGAAAATGCGATGTGGGATTTCTTAAAACAGTAACCATTGATGCTGTCATGATTCATGAAACTGTAGTACACGTGCGATGCACGCGATCTTAAAGTTGGATAAGCATCATTTTATTTTAAAGTCATACTCAAGCATTTTTCAAACTGATAGATTAGGAGCCCGTTTGGTGACCTCTTTTTTGGCTTATCAGGCTTATCAGCCAGCTTTTTCACCAAACACGTAACTTTTGATTTCACGCGCTGAATTGTGTAATAAGCAGAAAAGGTAAGGTTGGAGTTACTTTTCTGGCTGTATTGGCTGAAGTTACTGTAGAGGATCATTTTAGCTATTTTTTCATATAATTTTTTATTTTATTTATTAATAACAAATATTTTAAATATAATTTTTCATGAATCAGCAGAATCAGCCAATACAGCCACTTTAGCCAAAACTTCATAAATTTCAGCAGAATCAGCCAATACAGCCAATTTTAGTGTTACCAAACGGGCTCTAGACATAGGCACATATGTTATTTGGACTAAATTTTATCTAGACCCTGCTACGATTTAAAAAAAGAATAAAATAAAATGAGAAATTCACACTATTAAAATACAATCAAGTTTGTCAAGAAAGAAGTATTGAGCCACATATTTACTTTTTGGGGGTCCATTGGCTACGCTTATTTGGCTAAAATAGCAAACTAAATCAAAGTTGATTGATTATATTGGTAACCATAAGTTGGTGTGTCAAAGCTGATTGATTTTGTATTTGGTTTTGTAGTTTTGCATTATTTTATTTGGTTTTTATATTCAAAGGAGTAGATTAACAATTATGGATTTAATATTTTCTATCACAAAAAGGGATTAGCTTAGTGAAAAGACAAAACAAAAAAACTAAAACTAAAAAAGGAGGAGTAAAAGGACGAGTAAATCAAAAGAAAGTACCTAGCAGTAAAAGTAAAGAAAAGAATAAAAATAAAAAACACAAAAATAAAAAGTACTCATAAGTCGTAACAATCAAGAAGGGAAAAGGATGAGTATGGCGGATGAGTATTACGAATGAGTATGACGGCATAAGAAAATAAAGAAAACGAGATGGTGGCTGAAGAAATAAGATTAGAGAAATTAAAAGAAAAGAGAATGACGGCAGAAAAGGAAAAAGTATGGAGCGAATTGATGATCCAGCGAGAAGGAAAAAGTATGGCATCAAAAACTTAAAGGTGCTTAAAATTACAAAATAACCGGGTGTATGTACACCCGGATGTAGGATATAATTTGCCGGGATGGGGGCATATTTGATAATTCCATTCCAATTTTACTAACAGATCATGCGTATGGTCTCATATTTGGAATTGATTTGACAGAGGTCCTATATTTGTCTAAACATTTTTAATTAGTACTCCATCCGTTCCGCTATGATTGTCCCATTTTACTTTTCCGGTCCGTCCCACTAAGATTGTCTCATACCCTATTTGGTAAAATTTGTGTGGTTCTAAATCATTCTTGTTTTATTCTTACTTTATCAATTCAATATCAACCACATAAACCAACTTTTATTAATAACTGTGCCACTTTCTCTTGTCCCAAACTTAGGGGGACGGAAGTAGTAATATTCATGACCTAACCACATAGGAGTATCATGTTTTTTATTCTCTAAATAAGAATAAATTTCTACCAAGTTTGACATTAAAGAGCTTTAAAAGATCATTTCTGATAATATATTCTATCGTCATTGCTGACGTTGGAATCATCATCTAGAATCAGACCCCACATGCATGTGACATCCATGCATCATCCCGATGACTATGCTAGCTAGCTTCCACAGTTCCACATACGAAGTATATGATAGTATATTATAAGGTGACAACTCCAGTATCCATTTAAAAAATAGGGTACCGTACCTATCATGCATTTGATTGGTCCAAATCATTATATGCTTTTTAATTTAGATTTAAATAATTCAACTGCATCATTCGTATTGGTCCATTTGGACAAAGTCACAAAGGTACGGTACATTTGGGGTACCATAGAATCTACCATATTATAAATACAAAAGCAAGATACAAACGCCCGATTCAAGTCAATTTGGCAGCAAATAAATAAAATGGAGTCGTCGTCGTCGTCCATTATGATAATTTACAGCTGCATGATGGCAGTAGCGATTATTCCGGTGGGTTTCTGGGTATGGGCATTGTTGGATTGGGTGTGGTTTAAGCCCGGCCAGAAGATTGGAGGGGTGCCTTAAGCAGCAGGGTCTGAAGGGTAACCCCTACAGAGTCCTCCATGGAGACATGAAAGAAACATCCAGAATGGTAAATGATGCGGATAACTCCCACCCGATGAGTCCGTCCGACGATGACATTGCCCCCAGAATGCTTCCACATTTCCTTCAAATCATCAACAAATATGGTACATACGAGCTAAATTATGGATATGTATACTCCCTATATATATATGATCGATGCATGCCGGCCTCTCATTTCACTCTATAAAAATTGACACAAATTTGACATGATCGCTCCAAATCAAGTTGCTTCCAAAATATGAAGTACGGAGTATATATGTGTCAACACGATTTTGGAACGAGCTATTTATCAAATTGTTTTTATAAAATTCACTACTCCGTGATCGATATTTATCAAATAAATATATTATGAACTCAATTCTCTATTATTAAATAAATGATATGATTTATATTCTCAACTCATATTGTCTAGTACTTTTACGGTTAGCTAGATTATGCATATGCCTATATTTTATATTTTTAATTAATTAAATTTTAATTTTATATTTTGTAATTATTAGCCGAAGCATGTGCACTACCTTGGACACGGCGTATTATAATTGTATTATTACTAGCAGGGGCGGAGCCAGACTTTAGTACGAGGGGGGGCCGGGATTGGACACAAGTATTAGCACATACTTCGGGAGTATAATATAAAAATATCCTAACAAAATAAATGGAGTAATCTGTAATCACTCATGACTCATGGAAATATAAAATTTCAAAATATAGTAAAATACCTTAAGAAGTAGGCAGCACTGCAGCAGATTCGAACCTAATTCCAAGTTGAAATAAAATACAATCCTCAAGCTTCAAATTTCAAAAGAGACGGAGAGCCATGGACTAATGGACTGCTAGTTTGCTAACTTGCTAAGGGCTAACGCCGACCCTGCGTCCCTGCCGGACAGAGGACAGCCGGAGTGCCACCTGCCGACCCACTGCGTCACGCCGTGACTGACTCACTGGCCGCAGCGCCGCAGCGGAGTACAACGTTCAGCGTTACTCTGCTGCTCTGCTGCTCGATGTCCGTTTCACTCCTCTTCCCAAATCTAAGGGAATTAGGGCCTAGGTTAAATGAAATTTTCAATTGGGCCTAATTTTTTACTGTGGCAGACTGGCAGGCTTGCACCATTGCTTTACACGGACCAACTCCCACGAGTCCAAGCTTGACTTCATAATTTTATTGGGGGGGCCAAAAAAAATTTAATAGTAATATTTAAAAAAAAAACTTGGGGGGGCCATGGCCCCCTTGGCTGTCATGGTACCTCCGCCCCTGATTACTAGTTGCTCCACCCGTGCGTTGCACGGGAGTGAAGTGTCTACATAACTACAAAAAACTGAATAACGGCCCATTTACAAATTTATAAAAAAGATTAAATAAAACCCTAAATAAGTTTATCAATGTAATAACACAATACGAAAAAATGTAAAAATTAAATGTTAATCATCATATGATGAAATAGGTGTGCATATATGTCCATGAAATTTTTAATGGAAAATCTGAATTTGGGGGCGTTACACCCACATTTACAACAACCCAGTTAGTTGAGGGTGACATTTAAAAACTCAAAAAAGACGAAGATTGTATTTCAAAGTGGATACTATTTGATGGACTGAAAATGCGATTTCCCCATGTTTTTAATTGGGTTATTATTTTGTGATCTGGTCTGTTTTGATTTAATCTGTTTAAGCCAAGTCTCATTTGTACTTATTTCCACTGCTTATTCTAGTAGATCAATTGATTGAAATAAAGAGTCATCAAGATAAAATTCGATGAAGCATACAGTTAATAGAGTATAAGCTGTATGGAGTATCAATTGCAGTGGAAAAATAATTTGAAAATAAAACAAAACTAAAAATCAATGTTTGCATAGCCCCTGCTCTAGATCACCCATGACTTTAGTCAGTATTATCAACTTTTTCTGCAACAACATTCAAGTAAAGATAGATTGGATCAAAACTGAGGACGTAGCTCACCTGAAAGGAAGAGGTGCCACAAGGGAGAGGACCCGGATTCAACTCAAAACAATGACTTGGGATGAAACCTCACTCTCTTTCTATTAGAGCGAGATCAAAACTCAATTGACATCCTACCATAACTGTCCGGTCAGTTCTGGGGTCCTCGGGGATGAGGTGTCATCCTTTTTTAGATTGAATGAAATAAATAGCTTAAATCCAACTAAAGACGGAAGGTTTAAAGAGGAGTCTGGAAATTAGAGCAATATGGTAAAACAGCTGAGACACTCAAACTATTCACTATGGTTTGCAGATAAAATAGCTGAGGTGCCCATTGATGTAACTATGTAAGAGAACTTTGAGATTTTGGAGCATAAATAGAACTCTCAAGCCTCAAAAGAACTTCAAAAAATAAGTGGTCAAATTCTTTCCTATTTTGACAATGTTGTTGGGGTTTACTATCGGCTTTAGTGTTCAAGTTGTTTATTGCAATATAACAAAATATATAATACTTATTAGCATATATTTCAAGCTTTGAAATGTAATATATTCATCCCAACCTGAAAGAAATATATCAACATTTTCGGGGTAAAGTTGGACTTCACTTTGTCAATGGAACATACGTAGTATTAGTAGAAATATTTCAAGATGTTGAAATGTATGATATTCAACCTGACGTATGATATTGACAGAATATGATACCATATGCAAATAACATATAAAGTATTAGTTGAAATGGTAGAAAATCCTTAACTAACTTAGAGATCATCTTTGGTGTTTTGCAGGAAGCTAGACATGGCCAAGATTTGAAAAATTCAGTGGAAAATATAAACCAATGCACACGAGACCATGTAAAATAAAGCAAAACAGGGTATAAGAGCAACTTTAATGGGAACGTGGATTACAACTCATTAAAAATGGACACGTCACTTTAGTAGACAACCTATGAAGCTGATGTGGATACATAGACATTTATAATAATATTTCTGCTCCAATGCAAACGTGGGTTAAAAAAAATAATTTACTTTTCATACGTAATACCACTAATGAATAGCTGCAGGTTACCCGTTAATATTACTTTTCTTCTACCGATCTTCTTCAAAAGCATAACCTGAAAGTGCACATGCAAGAAAAATTATTGATATCTAGCCATTAAAAGAGGCCACTAAAAGAAAGAATCTCAAGCCATACTATGATTATATATGACCGGTAAAAAAACAATCAATCATCATTTACCCCAGTGCCGCAAAGGCTTCCCACCTACGGTGGGATAGGGGGGGGTCCGATGTACACAGTCTTACCTCTGTGCTAAAGCACAGGGAGACTGTTTCCAGATGACCCATAATGAAAATAGCGTCCAAAATTGCATGGGCTGACTGAAGCTTCATAACAAAGAAGAGCAGACAGTTTGGTGAGCCATTTTGCTTTATTCCATCATATTCTCAAGCCAAAAAATAATGAATCTTTGGCTCCATTGCAAATGATGAGAAAAAATTAGAAGCAAAGAGAATAGAAATATAGTCAATAATACGGAGTAGATAAATTCAGAAGCAATTCTTCAATTACAGCAGGAAACGAAAAATCAATCGTAAAACTAATTACAGAAAAGATGAAATTGAAATCAATACTTTGAGGAAGGTTTATCAAAATTGAACTTCTGAAAATGAAGTTTTTAATTACACGAGTAGATATAATCGGAATTACATGTGTAGCTCCTTCATATAGTTTATCCATTTAATTTAGCATCAAATTGCAATACATAGTAGTTGATTCAGCGGAGATATTTTATTCATTCTTCGAAGAAGTGCAATTTTGAGATCGGCAAATATATTTTGGATTACAGCCTCTGATTACCCCAAAAGGTGTTGATAAAAAAAGGAAAATTATACTCCGTATTTGCTGAGTCACGCTGTCCATCAGACTTGCTGAAATCAGACAGAGCATGAGACGGTGTGGATTCTTTGCGTGTCCAACTCAGCATCGCGAGAAAAATAGAGAGTTCCGTTGGAGGTCAAATTTTTATCCTAATGTATATTTTAACTACGTGGCAATGCATTTTTAGCTAATTGACATTGCCACTAAAGATGCTCTAAGGTTCTCGAGATAAATCTTCCTGCATTACAGTAGTAACCATTCAACTACCTCTAAGAATACATAAATAGGACCATGTAAAGTAGCATGTAGAAATAAAGCTACAAATCTAAAAATCATTTAACTACATATCAAGTAGAATATTCAACTTTTTTAAAGAAGCATATAAAAATGAGGAACTTTAGTGACATGATTAAAATACAAAAAGCGTAATCGAAGTAAACATTAAGTAGATAAATAGCTTACAATTATACTGAGATAAGAAAAAAGGTCATGCCTCTAGCCTTTGCTTCTTCGAAATGCTCCCTTGCAACCCTGAGCTATTAGCTATAGACATAAGTTCACCATCAACTTTTCGAAATTAAAGATATGAAAAATAAGCAACAAAAAATAATTATAAGGAAATCACCACTAATGTTTCTGATTTAAGGAAATCACCACTATACGGAAATCACCACTAAAGATATGAAAAATAAGCAACTTTTTTAAGTTGGTTTGGTTTTAACTTTTAGAACTGCGTATCAATAAAAGAAATGCAAATACGAAATAATGACAAACATATGACTAAATTGGCTTTTTAATGTGATCAATACAATTTATAATACAATCTAATAAGAATGTATTATAAATATATTATATATATATATATGTATGTATGTATGTATGTAAATTTTATGTAGACAATATAATTTTCACTACATCTTAGAACCATATTGATTGATAAAACATCTTAGCTGAATAATGATTGCTTTATTTGATCATCATTCTTATCAAACTGAATGATATTCATATTTCAAGCTTTGAAACAAACAAAAAGTCATTAACATATGCATATAGGTGTCAACAATGGTTCACAACTTCACATGGAAATCACACAAAGAGAGACTAAAAAACTACTAACTCCGTCCCACTAACAATGGGACATGAGTTGGGGTACCATTGGAATTTCTGAGATGTCTGATCAATTTGTAACATAGCAAATTGGGTTATGCCGACTTTAGTTACATAAGGAATACCCAAATTGGTTTCCTATATTTCAAAGATGTATCACTTTAAAACAAATAAAATAAAGGAATCCAAGATAACTATCATAGAGCATGTTAAATAAAATTGAAACAAAAGTTACTCTGAAAAAAATTCCAAATCCAATCTATGAGGAAAAAATCATAGAGTAATCAACCAAAGATTAAAGAATTGAAAACATATTAAATCAACACTGAAAGGGGTATGAATTGACCTGAACGTGTTTAGCACTGGCATAAGGAGAGTCTCCGGCTGGACTTCGTGAGTTTGATTAAAAACATTAAGCATAGGGTTACCTCATTGATAAATATCATTTCGTAAAGGGAATCATATACGATAGTATTAGTTAAGCCTCACCTTTCTAAGGCTATTGAGTGTGCTGCTAGCTTCTGTGTTCGACTCCATTGTCTTTGAGGATCAATAGCATCCCTGATTGTTGAAGAAATGGAAGACAACGAACTGTCTTAACATTATTAGAAGCAAATATCTATAAGACTAAACAACATATTTTAAGTGCCAAGAAAAAGTATTCACATTTTTTATCCAATCACACATATAATTCTGAGCTTGCTATAAGAAAACTTTCAGAAAAGAACATGAAAAGTGGCCAGATATATGAAATAATATGATATAACTATAAAAAAAAATACATTAGAGTCCAAACTAAACTCTTGTTATCATTCAATACAGGTCTAATGTCAACTATACTACAGGAAAATGTAATTCAGTTATAATGAGCATTAGAACTCAACATAAAAGTGGTTTTCCGACAAATTACTCCATTCCAAAAAAAATGACAAACCGAATAGATAAATTAATTACTGATTAAGTAGACAAAACCTCTACTCGTTCTTCCCAGCATATAAGACTAATTGTAGGAAAAGATACTTGATTGAGGAATTTTAACAAACACCTTCTTTTCCCAAAAAAATATAATAACTTTCTAAGTGATATAAACCTGGCAAATCGGATATCATTTAAGATAAAAGATGGATATATGATTTAGAAGAATAGTTTACCTCCAACTCAGATTAAGGTATAATCGGCTAGACTCCTGATAGATTTCGGCAGATAGATATATTCCTTTTTTAGAAATTTGATGTTGTTGAGGAAACCAACAATCTTGAGGAACTCCGATTTGAAGAAAGAAGGTATGAGAAGAAGCCGAAGCAAAAGATAGGTGGAGAAGAGTTGCAGTGACAGAAGGAACCCGAAGAGGAACGATTCTGAAAAGAAAAGAGCGAATGGAAAAGATTGGTGATGTTTTAAAATGAAGGATTAAGATCATTTTTAGATGAACGGTTCTGATGGATTTGTATTGCTATTAAGTATAAGGATTTCTGTGGAGTATCGATGTTTTTACTTGACTGTAATTTGTCCCAAAACAGACCAGATCAGACCAGAACAGCAAATTACAGTCCAAATAAAAGCATCCTAATTATGTCACTGTTGTTATTTTATTTTAGGCTAGCTAACTTAACCAATTAATTAATCCCTACTATCTAGTTTATTTTAGTTTAGTATTTGATTTAATATATCTTTGACGTTTTCCTTTCAAAAAAAAGTTTAGTATATCTAAAATTTTACTCAAATGCTACACATTACAAATTCCAAAAAAAATGTTATACTTTTCAAACAGTACGTATTCCAAAATAATTGTACTAGTATGTGTTTAGAACTTTTAATATACTATCGGTATATAAGTATATTGTTTCAATATATTGTTTTATATAGTAAAACGGACTTATGAATTGTTTGTGTCATTCTTTGATTGACTAATAAAAAACTATTTCAACAATTCGTTCAAAAAATGATCACTAAAGAACTATTGTATGTTGGAGGTAATATGCAACTCGTAACTCAAATAAAAAGAGTAATTTAGTACAATTTATGTGTAAAGTCAAATACAATAATATTTATAAAATTTGACATTACATAATTGAGTTTGAGTTAGTATTTCTCAGATAATTAAATAATATAGAGATCAGAGATAATTATTTCTCAAACAACTAACTAGATACATTTATGAGCAGGTAAAAATTGCTATATATGGATGGGTCCAACTCCTATGGTGTTCATCATGCATCCTGACCTAATAAAAGAGGTTTTGAATAAAAACTACCTATATCAGAAGCCTCACGCCAATCCACTAGCAAGGAATCTAGTTCAAGGAATATTCACGTACGAAAATGATAAGTGGAAAAAACATAGAAGGTTACTCAATCCTGCTTTCTTTACCGAGAAGCTAAAGGTTAGTGATCGATCGAGATGCATATATGTGTGAAATCTAGCTAACAACGTACGTAAGTCTTGCACAATGCCCTTGAATTGGTATGTTTAGTATCGTTAACTTCTTTCATTGTCATTGCAAACAACAGCTTATGGAACCCGCATTTATGATAAGTTGTGGTGATATGGTGAGAAAATGGGAAGCGAGAGCCTCACGAGAAGTCGGAGAAGAGTATTGTGAGGTGGATGTGTGGCCGGACCTTCAAACCATGACAAGCGATGTCATTTCTCGAACCGCATTCGGGAGTAGCTACAAAGATGGAAGGAGGATATTCGAACTCCAAACAGAACAAGCCTTGCACGTCACAGAAGCAATGCGGCACGTTTATGTGCCTGGATGGAGCCATGGAGGTGATCTATCTGAGATTAAATAACAAATTTTGTGTTATGAAAAGATAATATAGTATATATGTATCTCTTCACTTGGTGAACTTGTAAGTTAATTTGATTGCATGTAGATATGTGCCGACAAAGAGGCATAGAAGAATGCATGACATTAAGAAGGAAGTGAAATCATGTATTCGAACCATTATAGAGAAAAGGTTGAACGCCATGCAGGCAGGAAGGACAAACAATGACGATCTACTTGGAATACTACTACAATCTAACTTGCAAGACATCAAGAAACATGGGAACAAAGGGGCTGGGATGAGCATTGAGGAAGTCATTGAGGAGTGTAAGTTGTTCTATTTTGCAGGGCAAGAGACTACCTCTGTGTTACTCGTATGGACTATGGTTTTACTCGGCAGATTTCGAGAATGGCAAGCTCAAGCTAGAGAAGAGGTGCTGCAAGTTTTTGGTAGGGACAAGGAGCCACATTTCCAAGGACTAAATGACCTCAAAGTTGTAAGTATTTATTGTTGATACAACATATATTCCAAGTTTCATTGCAATGTTGACTTAATTTAGTGTAGTACTCTTTTTTCAGGTGACAATGATTTTATATGAGTCCTTAAGACTATACCCGCCAGGAACTAACTTGACTAGGAATACGATCGAGGAGATAAAACTTGGAGATATGACATTGCCTCCTGGGGTGATGTTGTCATTACCTATACTTTTGCTACATCTTGATAGTGATATATGGGGTGTAGAAGCTAAAGAGTTCAAACCAGATAGGTTTAGCAATGGTATAATGAAAGCAACAAATGGAAAACACGCTTTCTTCCCATTTGGTGGAAGGCCTCGTATATGCATTGGCCAAAACTTTGCTTTGGTAGAAGCTAAAATGGCAATGGCAATGATTCTGCAACGCTTTTCCTTTGAGCTCTCTCCTTCTTATACTCATACTCATGCAGGGTTACGTTCAGCAGGCAGGGGGTGTTCAGTCTTCATATTCTCCCACTACAGGTACTGTACTTAGTAATTCTCCTGTGTCACATTTAAATATTAATGCCTTATCTGTCTGTACTACTAACTATGGATCTACAGGCTTTCCATCAGATGGGGGTATTCTGGGATCAGTCCCTCCTCCTATTGTGTGTCAGATTTGTTTCTCTACAGGTCACTCGGCAATTGCCTGTCCTTCCCGCTTTTCTCAACCATCTGCACCCGCACTGATGACTAATTCGGGAGAAACTAACTCTGCTTTGTGGTATCCCGACTCGGGCGCTTCCGCTCATATGACGGCATCTGAAGGTAATTTGCTTTATAAGTCTGCTTACTCTGGCTCTACTTTTATTAGTGTTGCTAATGGTCAAAAACTTCCTATATGTCATGTTGGTGATGTGTCCATACCCTCGTCTAGTCGTCCTCTCATTTTAAAGTCTGTTTATCATGTGCCTCAGTTAAAATTTAATTTAATTTCTATCCAGAGGTTATGTGCTGATAACAATTGTGTAGTAATTTTTGATGAAAATTCATTTTTTGTAAAGGACAAACTCACGGGGGCAGTGCTTCTACAAGCTTCCAGTAGTGGACCTCTCTATCCTGTCAGTTTGCCGTCTTCATCTTCACTAGCCTTAGCATCTGTGTCTGCTCCGGGTCCAGTTTGGCATCGTAGATTAGGTCACTGCGGTGACAAAGTTTTGCATTATCTTAGAAGTAATAAATCCTTATGTAATAGTTCTAGCTTTACTTATGATTGTGTTGCTTGCCGTTTAGGAAAATCCCAACGTTTGCCCTTTTCTGATGTTAGTCATACTTGTGTTTCCCCTTTGCAATTAATTCATTCTGATGTGTGGCAGTCTCCTGTTTCCTCAAATTTGGGATTTAAATATTATGTTTTATTCATTGATGATTATTCTCGTTTTACTTGGATTTATCCCATGCATCGCAAGAGTGAAGTTTTTATGCACTTTAAAAATTTTAAGTGTTTGGTTGAAAATCTTTTTAATCATAAAATTAAAATTTTTCAAAGTGATGGAGGGGGTGAATTTGTTAATCATGATATGCAGCAATTTTTTAATTTCCATGGCATTTATTTCCAAAAATCGTGCCCCGATACGCCTCAACAGAATGGGGTTGCTGAGCGTAAGCATAGACATCTACTTGAACTCACTCGAACCATGCTTCTTGAAGCTTCGGTTCCGAGTCATTTTTGGGTAGATGCCATCTATACGGCTGCATACATTATTAATCGATTACCATCTCCTCTACTAAATGGTCTTTCCCCTTTCCAAAAACTTTTTGGGAAAGTTCCTGATTACTCTTTCATGCGTGTGTTTGGGTCCGCTTGTTATCCCAATTTTTCTGCCACTTCATCCAATAAACTTTCACCACGGTCCACACAATGTGTTTTTCTTGGGTATGCATCTGGGTATAAGGGTTACCGTTGTTTTGATCCTACTACTCGACGAGCTTACATTAGTCGTCATGTTCGGTTTCATGAAAATCTTTACCCCTTTCAGTCCACTCTGCTGCCATCCACTTTGGACCCCAACCTCCAGCTACTTCTCCTTACCTAAAGGTTCTTTTCTGTAGCTTAAATTCATCACTTAGGACACCTCAACCCTCTAGCACCATACGTACTTCCCAGGCCACTCCAAGTTCACCAACTGTCAGTAACCTGCAGTCTACTCCTATGCCCAGTCCACCTTTACTCACAGCCCCAAGTCCAAGTCTATCTTCGTCCTCTGTCTCCACCGAACTTAGTTCGGTTTTTAGGCAAACCCAGGACTCACCCACCACTTCGTCTCCAGTTCCTAGCCCCGAAAGTCAGTCCACCTCACCTGTGTTCTCATCCGACGCACCAGTCTCGGCAAGTGTTCCAGTGAGTGTCCCAGTGTCAGTTCCCGTTGTCAATACACATTCTATGCAGACACGTGCTAAGTCCGGGATATTTAAACCAAAAACTATTTTCTCTCTACACACCAATGTTATTGGCGCTGACCCGTCTTGTTTTTCTGAGGCAAATAAAAACTTAAAATGGAGAGAGGCTATGGCAGAGGAGTTTAATGCACTTATCACTAATCGTACATGGGATCTTGTTCCTTTTGACAACACTAAGAATATTGTTGGGTGTAAGTGGATTTATAAAACAAAATATCATTCGGATGGCACCGTAGAGCGGCATAAAGCTAGGTTAGTTGCTCAAGGATTTAATCAGCAGGCTGGTATAGATGTCTCTGAAACTTTTAGCCCTGTTATTAAACCTACCACTGTGCGTATTGTTCTTACCTTGGCTATCTCTTTTGGTTGGGTGGTACGTCAGCTCGATGTTAAAAATGCCTTTTTACACGGCCATCTTACTGAAGAAGTATAAATGCGTCAGCCCCGTGGTTTTATTCACCCCCAGTTTCCTAATCACATGTGTCGCTTGCGTAAGGCTATTTATGGTCTTAAACAAGCACCACGGGCCTGGTTTCATCGGTTCAGCAGCTTTCTTCTTCAGCATCATTTTATTAGCAGCAAGTCTGATAATTCACTATTTATTTATCGCCGTAATAATTCTATCATTTATTTATTATTATACGTAGATGATATTATTATTACTGGAAACTCTGAGACGGCTGTTAATCACTTCATCTCCCTTATCTCTCATCAGTTTGCCATGAAAGATTTAGAGAATCTTCACTACTTTCTAGGTATAGAGGC